AGGTGGCCGACGGCTTGAGTTCTGGCCACACGTGCACACGGGCACGGGCACAGTGACGAGAGCCTATAAATAGGACAAGGGGTTCTTCATTTCAAGAGGTTGGATTTTGGAGGAGGCGAAGCCCTGCAGGATTGGAGACTCAGATCTAAAAAAGATCTCAACTTTGGGACATCAAGGACTTGCTCATCCAGATCTGGTGCTCGGCGATCATCAACGTCAAATAAGGCAGGTGTTCGAGAGGATCGGATCTCAGATCTACGTTGCTACACTCCGGATCTAAGCTTGGTCTTAGATCCCGAGACTTGGACGATTGTTTCCTTGGTGAAACAATCCTCCCCGGCTATTATTTCCTTGGTGAAATAATACCCGTTGTACTGCGTAGATCTGACCGGATCTAGATCGCGCGGTGGTCCACGGTAAACAACCCCGGCGCAGGCAAAGAACCCACAAAGCGAGCGACCGCAAAACAGGAGCTCGTGATTCGTTCGACAAACAAGGAAACAAAGTTGTAATTTTCATTTCTTTTCAATTTGATCTTCGTTGTAACCGGATCTTATAAAAAGACCGGATCTTTGTAATCGATAGACTATTACAAGAGTGTACAATGGAATCATTAATGAAGAAAGCAACAATTTTTCCCGCGAACATCCGCAGCCTAAAAATACTGTTTTTGGTAGATTTAAGCTGTTTTTTGACCATTAACCATCTGGATTTGTTCGAACTGATAAGATATCATCCAAGAATGTGGTTAAGTGGTTACAACTGAAGATAAGAGTGAATCGGTCGTTCTTATCCAAAAATAGGGCTCCTGAAGCCTATAACTACAACCCTATGGATCTGGAATTCTCGAGAGTTGGGGAAGCCCTGTCGAACTGAAGATTGAAGGAGCACGAATTTCAGAAGATAGGAGGAGATCAGATCGAGTTCGTCGGTATAAAGAAGAGGAGCTCGTCAGATCTACACTTCCCGATCCTTTACCTTGAGATTGTCCTGTTGCGGTGATCTCGAGAAGAGTGATTATCTCGCTGTTGCCGAGATAATTGCTTCAGCTTCCTAATTCCTTCACGAATCAACGAAGCTCCGGATCTGATCTGATCGTTTGGTGGTCCACGGACATCAACGTCCCCATCACAGGCTAAGATCCCACGCAAGCAGCGGGCGATAAACACCCGTTGCGTTGTTTGACGAGAGTTGTACTTTTTTTGTTTTTATTGTGTAAGGATCTTATAAAAAAAGACTAACTTTTGTTTTTATTGTAACGTTTAAAGTTGTAATGAACACAATAATGAATACATCAACTTTCTCCCCAAACAAGCTGGCGACCATATTGGGAGTCAACAGCCTCGCTGTCGAGAATGTCATGTCGCAGCCAACGATCAAGATCCCGGTGAACGAAGAGGTCAAATTGATAAACATGAATATTCTCTATACTATGTTTCACCAACGGATTCACTGTTATTTGATGTATTTCCTTACATTTTGGCCATGTTAAGATCCCTAGTTATTCTTTACTGCTCTATTTATATATTGTGTAGGAATTACTGAAGCATAGCACGGATTCGGAGTCAAGAAGGAGTCAAGGAATACATAGAAAGAGGCTACACGGTCCCCCAGTGTTCAACAACACAGGCGTGTTGATTACAGAAGAAAACCCCAAAGAGTATAGCGGAACAGAGTTAAACACGGTCTGGTCGTGTAGATGTACACAGCCGTGTCAGTATCAGTATTCAGTTATTACAAGATTTGAAGCAAGATTTTAAGTTATCTGTTAACGCGATCTTTCCCAGAACTTAAATGAGGACGCCCAGAGGCATGAAAAACGACCAGAGGCTGGAGATTTCAATTTTTCTTTCTTCTTCTTCTCCCTGTCTCTATAAAAAAACTCTTAGATTAAGATTTCTTTAATTTGGTAAAGTGTTGGTTGTGAAGAATCGTGTGCAACATCTTGATTTCGACGCTACGGTTTATTTTTCTAATTTATCTTATTTTCTAGTTTATAATTATGATCTTATACATTGTCATCATGTCTTCTATTTCAATTATGTATGAGTAATTATTTTTTCTAGGATTGAATTTGGTTCGACTATGGTTATGAATCGATGAACTGATCTTGTTGTTATCATTAATTATTTGATTTGTATTATTCAATTACTAGTATCTAATTGCCTAGGGTTAATTCAATTGGCCACTGATTTGACTCCTTTAGGATGTTGATTTAATTTGAAAGGTTAGATTGATGCCGGAAAATAGTTAATTGAACGAGAATTAATTGATCACGAAAGTAGGTTAATTATTCTTGGGAACATAAGGGACTAACATGAACTTAATGGATTTAATTTAGTTTAACACCATGAAAATAGGTTGTTAGATTGAATTAGGCACGACTTTTAGTCGTCGAAAGAGATTAATAGTTATCATAGGTTAGTCGTTCTTAATGCATTGAGAGATTCGATAACAATTGATTAATTTATTAATTCAAACCAGAGTTAAAACTGAAGTTCAATCCTAGATTCTTTTAATTGAGTGGATTCGCTAGTTAGCGCGTTCGTTATTGATAGTTAAAAATCAAACTTTTTAGCACGATTGGTTTAGATAGTCACAAAACAGTAAAAATCAGTAATTAACAATGAAGTCCCTGAGGATACAACCTTGTATCGCTACAACGATATCCGTGCACTTGCGGATTTGAGTGAACAAGTTTTTGGTGCTATTGCCGGGGACTTCGGGATTGTTAATATTGACTTTTTTTTGTTTGGCTAGACTAGACTTTTTCTTTCATTTGTTTTATTTTTATTTTTACGTTTGACTTGTTCCTTTGTTTTCTTGTGCAGGCACCCTTGTATGCCCAGATCCTTATAACTTGGAGAACCAATCGAGTGTGATCTCGAGATTGAAAGGACCTTGCGTCATATTAGGAAGAGAGTACGAGAAACAAAGGACAATTTGAAAAGCAGAAACAACATGGGAGGCCAAGAAAACCAAGGCAATCAAGACCGATCCTTGAAGGAGTTTGCATCACCAACCACCCATAGCTCCCAATCTAGCATCATGAAGCCTAATGTTACTACTAATAATTTCAAACTCAAACCTTCACTCCTTTCCATGGTTCAGTAAAACCAGTTTTGTAGTACTTCTACCGAAGATCCAAACCTCCATATCTCAATCTTTTTGGAGTATTGTGACACCCTGAAGATGAATGGAGTGTCAGACGACGCAATAAAACTAAGGTTATTTCCCTTCTCACTAAGAGACAAAGCAAGGGCTTGGCTTGGCTGCAATCACTTCCACCAAGCTCCATCACTACTTGGGACCAACTCTCAGAAGCATTCCTTACTAAATACTTTCCTCCAAGCAAAACAACCCAGTTGAGGAATCAGATAACAACTTTCACTCAAAAAGAAGGGGAGTCATTGTATGATGCATAGGAGAGGTACAAGGACCTTCTAAGAATGTGTCCACATCACAGGTTGGAGGGTTGGCTCATAATTCACACTTTCTACAACGGTCTTCTCTACAACACAAGGATGACCGTGGATGCTGTAGCTGGTGGTGCAATGATGAACAAAAGTGTACGAGGTGCAAAACAGCTCATAGAGGACATGGCATAGAACCATTTCTAATGGTCAGGTGAGCGCTATTTACCCAAAAAGAGTGGGAGGTATGATGTAGATGCATTAGACCATATTTCTTCTAAAGTAGATGCTTTATTTCAAAACTTTGACAAGATGAGCATGAATTCAGTAGCATCTAACTCTACTAACTGTGAAATATGTGGTATCATTGGACATTCTGCTATGGAATGTCAGATTGGAAACTCCCCTTCTCCTGATGCACCACTATCTGAACATGTTAATTATATGAATAATTTTAATAAAAAAGGGGATCCATTTTCAAATACGTATAACCCATAGTTGAGAAATCATCCTAACTTATCCTATAAAAATCCACCCCAGAACCCAACTCCCCAATCAAATTTTCGACCTCCAGGTTTTCATACCCCTAGACTCCCTTACCCTAGTCCCCAAAAGTCCAACTTGGAGAGCTTGATGGAGAATTTCATGACATCCCAGAATAAGCAAAATGAAGAATTTAGAAATCAGAATAGGATCATGAATGATGCTATTAGGAACCTAGCCTCTAAAGTTGACTCCTTAGCCACCCACAACAAAATGCTAGAGAATCAAGTTACTCAATTAGCCTAGCAATTTAACTCTTCTTCTAGGTCTTTGGGCATGTTTCTTGGACAACCTGAAACAAACCCCAAGAGAACTATCAATGCCATTACACTTAGGAGTGGAAAAGAGCTAGAGGAACTGATACGGGTGTATCTTCTCTTCGGAACTTAGCGATTCTAATGGGAGCTTGAGGATAGATGATTCTCATGATAACATGAGAATAGAGGTGTCAAATAGTACAAGGGAACACAGGAGGAAGCATGGAACGAGACGACAAGCAAAAGAATCAAAGTATCCAGTTTTCAGCCCGTGAGTCGACTCATAACAGTCATGAGTCGACTCATCAGGTTGAGTCGACTCATGACTGTCATGAGTCGACTCATCGCTGGTTTTTGAGTTTTGTCCAGTTTCGGACGAGTCGACTCATCTCAGTCATGAGTCGACTCATCGATGGTTTCCTGGTTCGTTTGGGTTTCTGTTCACACGAATTCCTATTGGTTTTGGGTCTGGTTATTTACCAAATTGTCATCTACGTTTGTACACCTATATAAAGGATTGTTTTAAGGTTTCTAAACAATCAGAGAGGTAATTAAGAGAGATTCTAATCATTATATTAGGGTTTAGTAAGAATTGAGAGTTTGTTCTTAATTCTAGTGAGATTGTGAGAGAGAGATTATAATCTTTTTATACTCATAATCTAGAGAAGGTAATTTCCTTCGCCATATACTGAATTGTGCTTGTGTTTCTGTCATCCTCTTCTCAACCCACCTTTGATAATTCCACGATCAAAGGTGCTCGCACGGCAACTCGTATCAGGAACCAATGATGAGGAGTGATCATAGGGATGTGATTGATGAGAGTGAGAAGTTGGTGACAAGTGAGAAAGAGCATATTGGTGAGAAATGGGAGAAGGTTGAGAGATATGTAGCACATGCACCTTATAAGCCTCTACTACCCTTCCCTCAAAGGCAAGTTAAAGCAAAGTTGGAAAAACAGTTTGGGAAATTCATAGAAATATTAAAAAAATTGCATATTAACATCCAATTTGTTGAAGCCATTTCCCAAATGCCCTCCTATACCAAATTCTTAAAGGACATTCTATCAAACAAGAGACGATTAGAGGAGTATGAGACTGTAGCCATAACTCAAGAGTGTAGTGACATCATACAAAATAAGCTACCACCTAAGTTTAAAGATCCTGGTTCGTTTTCAATTCCTTGCACAATTGGTGATATGTCAATTAATCGTGCTCTATGTGATTAAAGATCCTGGTTCGTTTTCAATTCCTTGCACAATTGGTGATATGTCAATTAATCGTGCTCTATGTGATCTTGGTGCTAGTGTCAGTCTTATGCCATTGTCTATATGTAACAAGTTGCAGATGGTAGACTTGAAGCACACTACTATCTCCCTCCAATTGGCAGATCGATCGGTTAAACGTCTGGTAGGTATATTAGAGGATGTACCTATCCAGGTTGGTAAATTCTACATCCCGGTTGATTTTGTTCTTCTTAAAATTAAGGATTCTAAAATCCCCATTATATTGGGAAGACCTTTCCTTGCTACCGCTGGTGTGGTAATTGATGTGAAGAATGGAAAGCTTTTTCTCAATATAGGGGATGAAAAGATGAATTTTGATTTGTTTTCTGCTATGAAGTTTCCACTAATTGATGATACTTGTTGCATGATTGACACGATTGACATGGTGGTTAGAGAAGATTTTACCAGAGATATCTCAAGTGATCCTCGTGAGAAATGTTTAGTAAAGAATGGGGTACCAGATGATGATGATCAGGAAATAACTTCCTATGTTACAATGCTTCATGAAAACCCACCTACACCAAAACCACCTACAGCAAGGAACCTGATGTAGTGGCTGAAATTGCAAGGGGGCTGAATGACCATGTTGTGTCCGTAAACACAGATGTGTCAAAAAGCAGCAGAAAAAGTCCAGAACAGGTTTGTGGAGGAAAAACCGCACCTAAGGTAGAACAAAAGGCACATTGGACTATCAAGAGCATTCATTTGGATTTAAAAGAAGCAGGAGAACAGAGAAAGCTTTAACTAAATGAACTCGATGAATGAGGTTAGATGCATATGAGAATGCCAAGATTTACAAACAAAGAACAAAGAAGTGACACGATCAACACATCCTCCATAGAGAGTTTACAGAAGGAGACTTGGTACTTCTATTTAATTCTCGACTCAAGGTTTTTCCAAGAAAACTTCGCCTCGAGGTGGTCAGCGTCATTCCAAGTGCGTAAGGTATACCCATTTGGGGCTGTTGAAGTATGGAGTGAGGCCATGAGAACCTTCAAAGTCAATGGACAGTGGTTAAAGCACTATTTTGCGGGCACTCCAATCGAGAAGTTGGGTACTTTTACCCTCCCCAACCCATCATCATCGTGAGCATCGAAGGGGTCGAGCTCATGACCATAAACGAGCGCTTCTTGGGAGGCAACCCAAGTTTTTCTTTCACTTTATTTTTCTTTCTAGTGTTTGATTTTAATTAGTTTTCTAATTAGGTTGATGTGAATTATTACGCAGGTGGATAACAAGATGGGTAGCAAAGAGTTCAAGGATAAGAAAAACTAGAAGGAGAAGACTAAGGAAAATTGTTGAATAATCTGGTTACACGGTCAGGTTGTGTCCACAGACACAGCCGTGTAGCTGTCGGGCGACAGTCTCCAATTCAATTCCAAATCCTACCACACCCCTGATATGCTGAACACCTGAAAACTAAATTACTTCCTGTAGGCTGTCTAGAAATCACAATAGATAGCTTATCCCCCATCAAACACCGATGATGGAAGTTACAATCTGACGACTTTTAAAAGGCTACAATTTGAAGACTTTCACGTAGATCGCTGAAGGTTATAATCTGACGACCTTCACAACAACTGATGAGAGCTCTAGTTCAACAGCATTAACAATTAACATCGGGAGTTACAATCTGACGACTCTCATATTCTCAAGGAGCCAAGACGAAGATTACAAGACAATGATCTTTGCAAACACTATAACAAAAGAGATTACTTGTTGATAATCTCTCCAAAGCAAGACGCGGAACTCATCACCGCGCTCTAAGACCAAAACACGGAGGTCCTTCCCGTGTATCAACACCAAAACACGGAGGTCCTTCCCGTGTGTCAACAGTAAAACGCGAGGGTCGAACCCACGTTACAACATCAAAACGCTGGAGTCGGACCCGCGTTACAACATTAAAATGCTGGGGTCGGACCCGTGTTTTTCAATACTCAGCGGGTACTCAACTCCGCGTCTCCAGTCTAAAACGCGGAGTTAGGGTCTTGAACGCCAACGTGGGCGTTTGACTCGTTCAAACACGAGCTGAACGGTTACAGGAACCGTTTTTCCTCCACGATTTGAGGGATTTCCGCCTCACTTAGGAGCGGATTAAGGGGGCGGTTACACCCCTTAATTCCATATAAATATGGGTAAACTCAATTGAGTTCAGAGGGGCATTTTTTGGATCTGAGAGTTGGCAGCGGTCTGTTGGAACTTCTTGGCAGCAAAGGGGGAGATCTTGGAGCATCATAGATTGAGAGATCGGCATTCATCCTTTGGAGCATTCCTTAAAGCCTTCGGCCTTGGCTTGAGAACCGATTCTCGGTTCAAATCAACTCTTTTTCAAGAGTTCAAACTCGTTCAGAGTTATCAACTCATTTCAGAGTTCTAAAAGTTGCCACGCAAGTTCTCCACAACGTCAAATTGTGAGGAGAAGACATCGTTCTAGTGAATCAAGATATTCGGATCATCAACGGAGAGCAAATTCGACGCAAGCATTCGAAGGAGGCACTCTATCGCTACCGTGAAGAACCCAGTTTTAAATAAAGGGGAGAATCAAATTCGTTCTCCTCTCTTTTGTAATCAAATTGTAACCAGGATCGAAGGAATACAAGTCAAGTTTCAAAGGAATACCGGTCAGCGAGACCCCCGAATACTCTGCGTAGCGCGACTAGATTAAGGGGCGGATATAAGAAGTTTATGGATTCAAGGCATCTCAACCAGATCCATATTCACCAAGAGCCATCCCTATCCAATCATGGACTGGGGGTTCCAGTTCAAACCTCACGATCTGTGAGTAATTCTCTTCGAATCTTTACAACAGATTTGAGAGAGTTCATATCGAGAGAAAGACCGATGCAGCAAGTCATTCGTTCATTCTAATGTGAACGGCTGATTCCTATGGTCCTCTCGGGATATCAATGCTACTCATATGCGGCCAAACCATTGGTGCTCGACCAATTAACGTACGTTGCTTTGTCTAACCAACAACGACGTTCGCACAGGAAGAAGTCTCCAGAGATCGGATATCCTGAGGTCACTATCAATGTGATCGGCAGAGGGAAAGCCTCGGGTCCTAGTTCCGATGACTCTGAGACAAGTCATTCACCGACCGTCAGAGAAATCGCTAATGAGTTTGAAGGAATCTACCAACGCACTCGGACGCGAACGGGAGCCATTCTCCCTATCAACTATCGAAGGTTAGCCAGAGGAACCAATTCCAGTGATGAACACTCAGCCATTGCATAGTCCCAATCATCAAGCTCTTTTGTTGAACATGAGAGCCCCGCTTATATGACGGGAAACCATGAAGATCTCACGAAGAGACTTGATGAGCAGGAGGCCATGATCAAATCTTAGCAAGAGGCCATCAATGAACTCATGGCCCTGTTAACTCAAATCGTCGCAAACAAGGCCAAATCTCAGAAGACATATTCGCCACCCAGGCAAGAATCTTCCCGGAGAGGAAAAACGTCTTCATCCCGACCTCACACAAACAAAGGGAAGGGAAAGATGGTTGATGACATGGCTTCTGACCAAGAAGCCCACAACCTGGAATCTTCCTCTGATGAAGGAAGAGAGACTGAGAACGAGTATAATCTCCAGTCTGCAAAAATGGAAGAATTGGAAGCCCGTCTTAATGCCATGGCCAACAGAAGCGAGCTCCAAGACGAAGGAGTTGTCAGACCCTATCCTGCCGAATGGGATGCAGCCCCTTATCCCCCAAAATTTGAAGTCCCGACGCTACAAAATTTTGACGGCACGGGATCACCGAACCAACATATTTATCATTTCAAGTCACAGACTGGGAATGTAATATCAAACGATGCCATACTGGCTCGATTGTTCATTGGCACCCTCAAGGGAGTTGCCCTTGAATGGTTCAGGAAACTACCTGCGGGATGTATCCAAAGGTGGGCAGACTTAGAGAGACTCTTCCTGTCAAGATTTTTTGAAGAGGATACAGAAGTCTCCATTCATACACTTCTCGCCACTAAGCAGAAGAAGAGGGAGTCCGTCAAAGCCTTCATCAAGAGGTTTCGAACCATGGCTCTCCGGTGTTCGTCAGGTATGACACAGTCTACTTTAGTAGAGACCTGTCGACACAACTTGCAGACCGACCTCCTAGCCCGAATCGGAGTAACAGAATGTCGTTCTTGGAGACAACTAATCTCTCAAGGCGAACAGGCTCAAAAGATTATTGCCAGGATCAAAGCTGAAGAACAAAGTAGGTAGGATCAACTTGAGCAATCGGACCAAGCCCAACCTTCTCCTGAGCAATCGGACCAAGCCCAACCTCCTCAGTCAGAAGGGGAAGATACTACGACCACTGAAGCTAATCCTCTTCAGTAGGATGTCGGGTCTCCAATAACTATCACGTTAATAATTACTTCTGATAGTCAAACTCATTAGATAGTAGCCTACTCATTTTCCCCCTGCACTTGTTCAAGACTGGGGGTTGGTTTATTTATAGTTCATTGGATTATGAGTAATAAAGTTTCTGAGTTGTTATGTTTAATAGAATACCTCTGTCAACCATAAAATTTACCAAAACTATCATGTTAACAGTTACCTATGATAGTCCATCAATCTGCCAATCCTCTTCAATAGGATGGTAGGTCCACAAAACTATCACGTTAACAGTTACCTCTGATAGTCCATCAATCTGCCAATCCACTTCAATAGGAGGGCAGGTCCACAAAACTATTATGTTAACATCTACCTCTGATAGTCCCTCAACTTGTTAATCCTCTTCTCAATAAGATGACAGGTCCATAAATCTATCACGTTAACAGTTACCTCTGATAGTCTATCAATCTGCCAATCCTTCTCAATAAGATGACAGGTCCATAAATCTATCACGTTAACAGTTACCTCTGATAGTCTATCAATCTGCCAATCCTCCTCAATAGTATGACAGGTCCATAAATCTATCACGGTAACAGTTACCTCTGATAGTCTATCAATCTGCTAATCCTCTTCAATAGGATGACAGGTCCATAAATCTATCACGTTAACAGTTACCTCTGATAGTCAAGCTCATCAGATAATGGCCTGCCAGGTGATGTGCCTCTATTCCGACTTCATGGATAGTGCCCCACTAGGCGATGTGCCTTGTGTACCTCTTTTTTATTCCCTTGCTAAGTCTTAATCAAGACTGGGGGTTGGTTACTTGGAATTCATTGGATTAAGAGAAATGAATCTTTCACATCGTCGAGTTAACATTACACTTCTGACGATCATCATCCCCACAGAGTATGCATTCAACTTGCATCACTCCCAATTTGTCACGTTAACAATATACCTCTGACAACAATCAACTTATCAATCCTTGACAATAGGATTATAAGTCCTCAAAATTTCTCAAATCGTAATCTTCCCCAGCAAGACGCTAAGTCTTCAAAATCTTGTTCAAATCACAAGCATCAAAATTTATCGCTTTTGATGATAAACTCATTTAGCAAGTTTCCCCAGCGAGACGTTAATTCCAAAAATCTTGTGCAAGTCACAAGAACACATTCCTGTCAAGTTAACATCAAACCTCTGACAAAACCCACTTATCAATCC